GAATGGGGAGGACGAATAGCTGAGGATGTGGAGGAAGACGACATAGGATGGTCCTTACCACCGCGGCCCGCACTACCCTATGAAAGGCATTAATTCTATGATTAGGCTTCCAAGTGCTACTCTATTATTGGAAAAGAAAAAAACAGATCAAACTTTCGCATATAGATAAATTAACAAATAAAGTCATAAAGGAAATATTCTTTGGCAATTTTTTACTCCCAAGCAATGTATCTTTTTTTTTCTCTAGTTGTAAGTTGTTGAGAAGGTAGGCGATATTATATTATATCTTTATGGTGGGGTTGTTGAAATACACATAGAAAGCCATATGATGAGTTGAAAGGAAAAAAGATTGAGGTACACACAATTTGTACACACAATTTGTACACTTGTCTGTCCCTCACAGACAAGTTTTCTGTCTCGAGATGAGTTGGTTGTGGAAAGACAACTCATCTCGGGACAGAAAACTTGTCTATGAGGGACAGACAAGTGTACAAATTGTGTGTACCTCTAACTCCACCCTGATGAGTTCCCCATAAAGAAGTTGTATGATAATAGAAAAATAGGACAGCACAGTTCAGTAATAAATACATGAAGGTTAAATTAATTAGAGGAGAACTTGGTGCATGAACGCATTCTTAGCAATGTTTGGGGAAGAGCTCGTCATAATTCATAAGGTCCATTAGCGGGAAACTTTCTCTTATCCATAAGAGACCGCTCTTAAGTTATGAACAATGAGTGTGACGCTGATCATTCTTACTCATTGACTAGTACAAAAAGAAATGTAATAATAGATCATAATGAGACAGAATTTATGGATAATCCTCTCAATCTTTAGATACCGTGTGACAATAGTGTTTTTCGGCTTATGAGGCTTATCAGCCAACTTTTCACCAAATACATAACGTTTGCTCTCACACGCTGAATTGTGTAATAAGCAGAAAAAGTAAGGTTGGAATTACTTTTCTAGCTGTATTGGCTGAAGTTACTGTAGATGACCGTTTTAGTTTTTTTTGCATATAATTTTTTCTTTTTTTATTAATGAAATATATTTTAAAAATAATTTTTTCTTAAATCAGCAGAATCAGCCAATAGGGCCAATACAGTCTTTTCAGTCAGAACTTCATAAATTTCAGCAGAATCAGCCAAAACAGCCGATTTTCGTGCTACCAAACGGGCTCTTAGATATTTGATGAAAATCTACTTCAACACTTGCACCCAATTTACTCTTGTTGAATTCCATGAATTACCTTTGTTTTGTTTATGCTTTTTAATAGGTCTTATCATTTTGGGTAACAATGGAGTTGACTTTTGTTGGGTGTGTTTCGGAAAATAAAGAAAATTAATTAAATTAAATTAATTAAAATGACAAAAGAAAAACAAAAATTAGATGGAACAGAATTTAGCCAAAGCTCGTGCTACGCACGATGGCCTTAAAACGTATTTATTGCCTCCCACGGTGCTAGGAACGTTGCAACAATCATTTCCCAGGATAAGATGACTACGAACTAATGTTTGAGCACACAAACAAAAGTTCCGAAGAACGAGAACAAAGACTGAACACTCAGGGAATTTTCGGACGACTTGCGGTGTTTTTTCAGAACTCAGAAATATGTGAGTTCGTTTGTGAATGTAAAAACGTGTCTTCATTGCAAACCACCTGTCAGCCATTATATAAGAGGATTTGTTGTGTGTAAATGGAGAATTAATGGACCTGAACGTTAGACATCAATGACCAGTCCGTTGGGCATTGAATCGTCCATGAACTGTCCATTTAACGCTGCATTTCACCTTAGGAATCTTAACTCCTTGGAGGGGGTTTCCCTTTATAAGGGGTTGCAAATCCCTTGGGTTTTCCCGTATGGGAAATAACGGGTAAACTTCGAAAATCAATTTCTCTTTCACCAGCTATCCGTTTTTAGCGTACCATATATCGAATTGTAGCCCTTAACAAGGACAATCCAAAACCACTTCGACCCGACCCAAATCAAAAGTGGACCCACTCAAAAATTGCTCCAAAATGACCATTTAATGCAATTTTAACACATTTTTCCAACAACCTTTTAGAGCATCTACATTCATGATCTGTAATAATCGTTTTTTCTATGATTCTTACCATTTAAATATTGTTATGCAATTAATTTTTAAATAATTTCAAAATTCGTTTATGTCTCTCAATCATCATCTTTAAATAATCTGTTTTTTCTTTGTCCTGCATTAACCTTTATTACATATACTTTTCCAATAATCTTAAAATAATCCCGATTCATATTTTGATCCCAGATTATCGTAGCAAATAATCTCATTAAAAAATCCATGTCACTCAATGATGCTTCTCTAAAAAAACTGGCATGTGATCATTTTAATCTCATAATAATCCTATCAATGAGGATGCCCTTATGATATATGTACTCCCTCCGTCCCTTAAAACTTTTTCACTTTCCCTTTTAGTCAATTATTTGTGGTTTCTGTTATTTCTCTCTCTTCTGCACAAAACCTCAACCACACAGTTTTTACTTTATTATTCTCCGTGTCGGTCAACTTTGGCAAAGTTTTAAGGGACGGAGGTAGTACTTGTGAATGTGAATTAACATAGCTCTTTATATTGTGTTAACATGAATTTGTGTTATTCTTAAAATTGATAAACATCATTCATATGAAATCTATATACAAGAGAGCTCCTAAATCCGGAATATTGTCACTTCCAAATTCAGTTTTTGTGATTCCTTAAAACTTGTATTTTATTTACTCAATATCAAAATTGCAACTACTACTACGTAACAATAACCTATACCTCACATAAAGATTGAATTTTATGCTCAATCAAATATAAATAATCTAAGACAGATATTTATAAGTCAAGAGAGGATCATAGAAAAAGAAAAAAATACCAAAATGTCATAATTTAAAGGGAAAACTATCAAATAAGCCCCTGTACTATACTGAAAAAGTCGATTAGGTCCTCGTACTTTACAAACACTCAATTAAGTCGTCGAACTATTAAAAAACGTTCAATTAAGCCCTTTTGGTCGGTAAGTAATCGGTTTCCCAGTTAAATGTAACCCGTTTCCCGACAGCCGCCGTTGCCGGGGTTTGAGCACATCATCACCGTCATCGCCGTTTAACCGAGAAACCGGTTACTTACTGACCGAAAGGGCTTAATTGAACGTTTTTTAATAGTTCGAGGACTTAATTGAGTGTTTGTAAAGTACGAGGGCCTAACTGACTTTTTTGGCATAGTACGGGGGCTTATTTGATAGTTTTCCCTAATTTAAACAAGAGCAGTTTCAAAGTCAAAACATTTTTTATATTTTTAAAAGGGGTCAGAAAAAGTTTAGAGAGACAAGTAATTACTACGTACTCCGACCCATTTTTTATATTTTTAAAAGGAGTATTTGTTTTAAACTAACCCCACCGACCCCGCCAGCACTTTTGGACAGTGTAAAAAGTTTGATGATGAGCTGGGAAAGTTTTGAAAGATGGATGAATGGGAATAGTTTGATTGCACAGCACATCACAGCACACTTAAAAACCTGGTAAGTTGAGGCTTAAGACAATGACACATAAGTAGGTACTTTAATTTGGGAAAGAAGCAAAGGGAGGGAGCAGACAATTCAAGTCTGTACTCTCATCGTCTCATTAATTTATGAACAGTAACCCCAAGCTGCTTGTGTCTCCATTCCTGCAGCTCTGCTACAGTCCTAGCTACTCCTATTCACTCAAAGCGCCCTCTTTGCTTATCTAATGAGATAACTAACTTAGGTCCCCTTGGGTAATTGATCTTATTGGTTTATCATCTTTATTTGCTTTTTTTTACTTGTAGCTTTTGATTTCAGATACTCCTGTAATTAAAATAAATGCGGATAGAGATACTATTCTCACTCAATGAATTTGTTAGTATGCCTGTTTTAATTATTTTTCACATAATTTCATTCTTATTTCATTAACAGACATATGTTAACCGAATTCAACTAATTTCAATGCTATCAAAGAGCCACAATAACATGCACACGAAGTCAATAAGATAGAAACTAGAGCGTAAATGAAACATTTGGTGCATCAGTGCTTACATATTTAGAGAAACGTAAATATGTAAACATTTGGTTGTTAGGAGTAGTTTAAGTTCTTTCTCACCCCAAATTTTATTTTATTTTCAATATATTAAAGTTAATTGATAATCCAGACAAGATCATGACAAAAAAAAATGCTGACATTTCATCTCTAAGGGCCCCAGCAACGATCGGACAGTTAACAAAAGGATGTAAATCGGATCTTAATGATAAGGAATGAGGTTTTGGCTTAATAACTTGCAAAGGCTCTACATTTTTAAGATTCGAATCCGAGACTTTTCCCTAATGACGTTCCTATTTAACAGTTGAGCTTCGCCCGCAATGACGTTCCTATTTAACAGTTGAGCTACACCAGCAGATAAGAACATAGACAAAGAATTGCCTCAAGCAAATCTTGATTGCTGCTACTAACGAGAGATCAGAACCCAAATAACCTAAATCTCCAACGGTCCGGACTGTACCCAACCTACTCCTCTTAATTTAATAGTATCAACGACCGGTGGCCTGGTTGTACTCTCCCTTAAAAGGGCCACCAAGATAAACTCGATACCAAATCTCCAGCCTTTAGGCTAGAATTTAGTGTATCTTACTTTTAATCGTATTTTCTAATCTTAGTATCAAAAATCAATTTTAATTAATACGGAGTATGTTGCGGAAAGATGTCCTTAAAACAACGTTTTTTCTCTGCTTTCATATTGGTGGATGTGAAAACTTTGGAAGAGTCTCCCTACTGCAGACATTAAAGATACTGTGGCCGGGCAGAGTGCCCCCACCTCTGAAATTTATTTCGTCACAGAATTTATCATTTACCAAAAGAACGCTACCTTCCATCCACTTTTCACCCTTTTCCTGTGATACCCATTTATACAGGCTTCCTAAAAAAAATTATCACCCCATGCAACTTATCAATTTTGTAAAACAAAACAAAGGAAATGACAAAAGCAAGAAATATAAATACTTCAACTGGTAAATCTGGATGAAATTAAATCTGTACAAACACAAAGTGGGAAGCAAAAAAAGGAAAAAGAAAATTAAAGAAAGAAAGATTCTACTGCGCAGCTGCCAGTAGTAGGTAACCAAAAATTTTTCTGGATGATAAAGTTGAACAATTTTTCCCCATTTCCTGCACTAGACAAGTCTTTTGTTCCTAGAATCAGATTCCACAACATTGAAAATTAACACACATCAAATGCTCTCTCTGCCCCCTCTCCTTCCCCCTTTTCACACTCCTTCCAGCTTGCTCCATCTCCCAAAAGAGATTCTTCGCACTTCATCCCACCAGAGAAAAAATAAATTAATATCAAAATAAATCAACAGCTCAAGGCCTCATATTTCATGGGAAGTGGACGGTTAAACCCCGATTGCGATAATAAGTTCCCGACAATCGCAAGGTCTCTACAGAACACACCTTGAAACACCGATGGGTCGGGACAACAAATTGGCTTCATTGTGGATGATGGTCCGTGAGATTTTTGTTGAGCCACCTCCTCTTGATGCTGTTGCATTGCTTGCAATGCAACAACGGTAGAGGCTGCGGTTTTCTTCCTTTGCTTCTCAGCTGCTTCTTCATCAATGATCGCCGCCATTAAACTAGTATAACCCTTTTGGATCAACCTATACAATAACAGTGAAGACATTTTTGCCCTCTCTCTAACGGATTCAATCTCCCGGTCATCCGTGTACTCGCACCTCTCTATGAATCCACTCGACTTGTCGGGCTTATGTCTTAGAGTGAGTAGCAAATGTGCCCTCTCCAATTCAGATCTTGAACAACCTCTTCTTAACCCGAATAACGCGTAGTGATCCACATTCCCGGTCTCGCCAGAGGCGACCCGTTGTTTCAATTCTTGGATTTTATTGGCCAATGAGCAAAGCCTTCCCGGGATCTCTCTATATTGTACATTCTGGCGCTTCCAGGCCGGGCCGGGCAGTCTCCGATCACGCAACATCGAGTTGTATAAGAGCCTTAAGTGTTCAAGATCGTGGAGGCTGTCCGGTACGCACCGAATGTCTTCAAAGAGAGCTGCCCTGATGCTTAGGGCATCAATGGAAGATGGGTCCAAAGCAAGGGTTCGGTTACAATCCGCAATGGCCTCCGCCATTCGTCCAGAGGAACGGTATGCTGAGGCGCGGTAGAGGTAGCACTCGGCGAGGAACCCTTGTGGGGCCCCGCGACGGCCATCGACTATTTTGGAAAAGTGTCTGATCGCTTCAGATAATAGGCCGGCGTTCAGGGCAGCCATGGCGGCTGTCCTGCGGCGGAGAAGTAGCTTGATGTGGCTGAGCAGCTGGGAGATGCTTTCTGATTCGGTCATTGGACTGTCTTGTTGCGGCTGATCTCTGGACAGTGGGAATCTGGCGGATGAAAAGCTGTCGTCGGATAGGCATACACTCTCTCGCCGGAAGGCATCGGTGGCGAGGCGTTTCCCGGTTTGTAATAGGACAAGGGCGTCCTCCATTAGGCCCAAATGGCAACAAGCCTGGCCCAAAATCAAATACCTGGAAATGAGATTTATTAGCATCCCAGATAGTCAATCAATCAATCAACTCTAATTTATTGATGATCAACGTGTTAATAGAAAAGCAGAAAATGCTGGTTTACCATTAAATACGGAATGACTTTTTGACTTAGATAAACTAAATCATATCATTTCATGATTAAGTGAAACAAATCACCCGTATTTGCGTAATCTAGAAGCCATACTGTCCGAATATGAAGGCAGTAAAAAAGGAGAGTGTCGAGCTGTCTGCTTTGCAGTAAAAGAACAGGAAATTAGTAAAAATTGTTAATTGCTAAAATGAAATCACCTCCATTGACCTCCCCTCTCGCAGTTCTTGTAGAGCCCGGCCACGACCTTCTTCTTCAAATCGGACAGAGAGAAGCACCGGAAAACAGTGTCCTCCGAGCCGGTGGAGAGAAGCTTCAGCCTCTCCCTCGAAAGCTGCGAAAACGAGTTATCTGACGATCCCGATGACGACGACGGAGAAACCGAAGACGCCTCGTCGGCCGCCATCTTGACGCTCGGAATGTGATCCTGTAGCATGTCGGCGACGTCCTTGAACCGGCGGAGATAAAGCAAGCACCGAGCCTTCAATTCCAAGGCCAATTCGAATCGAGGAGAAAAGGCCAGCGCAGTGTCCAGAAGGTAGAGAGCGGCAGCAATCTCGCTCTGTTCTCGAGTCGCAATCAGAGCCCTCGCGTCCTTCACATATTTGTCCACAATCTGCGAAAACATTCAACAAATCGATCAATCACAAATTCAAAACGGAGAATCGATTGTCCCTGTTACAAATAAGAACCAATCACAAGTTCAATAAAATGGGGCTATGCCTTAATACCTTCCTGTTGGTAATCCACCAGTGCTTCTTTTCGGCTCCGGAGAAAGACGGAGATCCGGCCATTGTCGCCGCGCACGAATCAAACATGAATCTCACTTCTTTTAAGCTCTGGTAATGAAGATTAAAGTACGTATCTGTCTCACAGCTTCATCATTTTGCGTACCTCTCTGTTTGAATCGTCTTGTAGAAGGAAGAGGGGAGAGAGAAGAGAGAGAGAGGGGATTTGAACGAAGTGAGGAGTGGAGAGGTTAAGGGGATTAATAGAATAGTGGAGGGGATTATAGAAGGGGGTGCCAGGCCAGCTTTGACCTGAGGTGAGAGAAAGCAATTGATCCTTGCTTCTTCTACTTCATCGCTGGCATGCATACAAAGCTAAGCTAAGCTATAATAATGAACGCACACTCCTGTTTTCTCTCTCCCCCCCTCTCTAGTCTACTCTATATAGTGTCATATACTCCTTAAACAAATAGGGTTGACACATATACGAAGTACGTATTACGTATTACATACTTTGTACTTCGTATTACGTACGTATTCTGGGACGTATTGTGGGGTGTATTATGGACTTATTAATTAACTTTTTCATCAACCACGTAATGTTTGATTTCGCGCACTGAATTGTGTAATAATCAAAATAAGTAAGGTTGAAGTTACTTTTCTAGCTGCATTGACTTGAGTTACTGTAGAAGATCATTTTAACTATTTTTTCATACAATTTCCTCTTCATTTTATTAATGAAAAGTATATTACTCCGTAATAAAAAGTATTTTAAATATTATTTTTCATAAATCAGAAGAATCAGCCAATACAGTAACTTCATCCAAAATTTCAAAAATTTCAATATAATCAGCTGATTAAGTCAATTTCAGTGCTACCAAATGGACTCTTAATATAATGGCAAGGTGTATAGTCTAAGCCAAAAAATGTCTTACGTTTTCATTGATAATTACTACCTAGTACTCCGTATTTTATAGCGATATCATTCATTTATTCATTATCATTACCTCAGTGCCGCAAAAGCTCCCACCTACGGTGGGGTAAGGAGGGGTCGGATGTACACAGTCTTACCTCTATACTAAAGCACAAAGAAACTGTTTTCAGATGACCCATAGTGAGAATCGCGTCTAAAATTGCATGAACTGACTGACGCTTCATATAAAAGAAGCGCAAACAGTATAGTGAACCGGCTTGCTTTATTTCATCATATTCCCAAGCCAGAAAATAGTGAGTTTTTGGCTCCATCGTAAATGATGGAAATTTATAGTGATATATGTAGGGAAAAAAATCAAAAATATAATATGCGTATGGTACTACAACTCTGAACCTACTTCTTTTTTTTTTTTACTTTCTTTAAGATATACTCCCTCCGTCCCGCTAGAAGGTTCCCGTTGACGGTTTACGATGTTTGACTGACGATAAAACAACTTAATCCCTGTTCACACTCTGATTATTTTTAGTAAATAAAATTTACATATTCGGAAATTACATTAAAACCGCTACAAAGTCTGATTAAAAAAATTTGAATTTGATAAAAATTTGATATATAAAGTAAAAGATTAAAAAAGATTTAAGTTGACCATGTGCATAGTGGACGAGAATCTTCTAATGAGACAGAGGTCGTACTACGTACTTGTATGAGGATTTTTTCACGAAAAAGTTTTACTCAAAATATTTTATATTCATATTTGAATCTTATCGAATTTGGGGAGGTTGTAGCATAAGATGCCCCTCCCCCCAACTCACAAGCGAATTTTCGATTTCGCTTGTGAAATGATGTAATATTCAAAACAAATAAAGTTAAACTTACTTTTGTAACTGAATGGACTGCAATTGCCCAACTAAATTATTTAAACTTACTTTGTCATCTTTTTATTTTTGTTTGTCCTAAAAACTTTGTCACTTTCTCCTTAATCAATAACTTTGTGGTTC